GGGACATGTTGGTGCTCTGTGGCGCTGGAACGGCTGCCCCGTGTGCCGTGGGGGCTCGGGGAGCAGAGCTGGGGCGCTGGCTCGGAAACGGCCTGGCTGCCCCAACTCGCCTCCAAGCCGAGCGCTCAAAAAAGAGCTGCTTGCTCCAAGGGAGCTCCTCTCCCCGTTTCCCTCCCACCCTTCCCAAAGAGCCGTTTTCCAAAGCCACTCAGCACCAGGTTTCACCCCTCTCAAACCAATGCCGGATGAACAAGCAATCACTAATGAATGTCCTCTTGTCTCCCCTCCCTCCTCTCTCTTTCCTCCTGGCGTGGATTCCTTCCCCTCCCTCCCCTTTCCCACGTTGATCTCCTTCCCTCCCCTCGTCCGACCTCCCACCCTTCCCAAAGAGCCGTTTTCCAAAGCCACTCAGCACCAGGTTTCACCCCTCTCAAACCAATGCCGGATGAACAAGCAATCACTAATGAATGTCCTCTTGTCTCCCCTCCCTCCTCTCTCTTTCCTCCTGGCGTGGATTCCTTCCCCTCCCTCCCCTTTCCCACGTTGATCTCCTTCCCTCCCCTCGTCCGAATTTCTTTTTTGCCCCCCCGGGGTGGGTTTGGCACGCACGCACGCTGCAGTCTGGGGTTACGGTTTCCTCTGCGTGACCGTCATCTCCCTCTGCTCGCTGGTGGGAGCCAGCGTCGTGCCCTTCATGAAGAAGACCTTTTACAAGCGGCTGCTCCTCTACTTCATAGCTCTGGCGATTGGAACTCTCTACTCCAACGCCCTCTTCCAGCTCATTCCCGAGGTAGGGTGAGGACCATCGGGTCCGTCCTTTTTCTCTCTCTCGGGGGCTGTTTCTCTGTCTCTGGGCGCTCACTGGCTGGACACGGGGAAGGCGGCGTCGGAGGGGAGCCGAGAGCGAGGGACGGAGGCTGGAAGCCCCTCGGGATCGCAGTCGGAGCTGGCCTTTCGCCCCTTTTCGGAAGGGAATCGCTCCAGGGAGACCTCTGGTCTGCTTCAAGCAGAGAAACGCTATTTTACTGCTCTTTTTCCGTGACACTGGAGGCTTTCTGTGCTGGCGTTTAGCATCCCTGCCCCGGTGTGGGGTGCAGCTGGCTCGGCTGGGGGTGTGAGGGAGATTAAAGGTTCCCAAAGGCATTTTCTGAGCTTGCCCCTAAAGCTGCTGCTGGTTAGAGAGAGGTCAGCAAGCGGGAGTGTTGCCCCAGAGGCGCCAGGCGCTTGGAGGCCCTTCCTTATTCCTGTCACTTGTCCCCCTTTTCGCACACAGGCGTTTGGCTTCAACCCTCAGGAAGATTATTACGTTTCCAAATCCGCTGTGGTGTTCGGGGGCTTCTACCTCTTCTTCTTCACAGAGAAGATCCTGAAGATGCTCCTGAAGCAGCAGGACCAGGTGAGGCCGAGCACAGGGGGCTGCTTGGGTGGGAAAGGGTGGAAAGGGCAGCGAGGGCTGATCCCCGTGTGTGTCCCCCTCCCCGTCCCGCAGCATCACCAAAAACCCCCGAGGCTCTGCCGTCCAAGAAGGACCAGGAGGAGGGCGTCACCGAGAAGCTGCAGAACGGGGACCTCGACCACATGATCCCGCACATCACCAGCGAGCTGGAGCGCAAGGCCCCCTCTGGGGATGAGAAGGTCGTGGTGGGCTCCCTCTCCGTGCAGGTTAGCGCCTCCTCCTGCGGGGTTGCATGTGGATTAAATAAAACCCCTGCCCGTCGGCGGCAACGAGCGGTTTCAAAGCCCGTTGCCCCTCCCTGACAAAGTCTTCGTGGGTGGCAGAAAGCAAACGGCTTGGGTCGTGGATTTAACACAGAATCACAGAATGTCAGGGGTTGGAAGGGACCTCTGGAGATCATCCAGGCCAACCTTCATCCCCGCACACCCAACCACT